GGGGGACAGAAGCCTCTGGAAATCAGCACTGCCACTCATGTTCCCAGCTTGGAGCAGCTGCTGCTGCTGCTGGTGGGTAGATCCTGCCAGTTTGACTGCTTCCAAATTGGAATAAAGGCTGAGGTAGAGATAGACAAACAGAGGAGCCCTGGGCACATCCAGTAAATGTACAAATACATGGAGAGATTTGTTAAGAATTATTTCAGCTGTTATGGCAACAGTGTTTTCTTCCCTAACAGTGTTTTCTTCCCTCGTTCTTTGCAATGCTTTGGGCCATTCTCTTGGTCTGGTTGCCTTATCTTTGGTCCCATGTGAGTGCTCAGTTGGGGAACAGGCTGTAGGTGCTTGGGCCACTCTTGCTTTTATTCTTGGATCCCTTGAACAACAGGGCTTGTTCCACCATGAGAGTCTGTGCAGCTTTGTGACAGAGGAGAACTTCCCATGCTATTTGGTGTTTGCTGTAGGGGAGGTTGGGTGTCTGCATAAATCCCCACACCAACGCAGAAGGCTTGCTTTGTGATGTCAGGGCATGGTTGCCACATTGTCGTGGTGACATCAGAAGGTTGCCTTGGTGCACGGAAGGCCTCAGTGTCAGAGCAGCTCTTGGGCTTGGAGGCGTTTGTCAGTGGGCAGCTGCACACTGACAGGAGCCTTGTTCTTTCCTGTGTTTGAGCACAGTCTGCAAACTGGAACAGCAGCGCTCCAATGATGGAGCCACTCGCTGCTGCAGTTTGCGGTGTTTACGGCATTGTTTATTCCGGCTATTACTTGACTAATCTGGCATGTAAGTAGAGGTTTTCCCTGGCTGTAACCTAACTTGGCTTTTGTAGGTCTTCCTGCTTTTTCTTAGTCACTGGGTTGATTTTGAAACAGAAGGACCATTAGGATGCCGCTGCTTTACTAAAGCTCCTGTCGATACATTCAGCGAAAACTGGGTGTCTGTAGCCAGGAGTCTGTAGGCAGCATTTGCAAGGCAACCTGCAGGGGTTCCGTTCCCTGCGGAGGAAAAGGAGAGAAAGAAGGAGAGTCTGTGGCAGCAGAGTCTGTCCTTTCCTCACTTTGCTGGGTCGAGCAGGACACCTTTGAAAATGTAGACTGAGAGACCTTCTCGGAAGGCCTTCTAAAATCTCTGCAGTTGTTCCCAGAATTCAGAGAAAGATGATTTTTTTTTTTTTAATTTTATCATGAAAGGATTTGACTATCTAAGTTCGCTCTTTTCTGAGTGCTAGAACAGCAATTCCCTTTGCAACGAAATGCAAACTCCAAAGCAGTGTGTGTCTGCTCCTGAACCCTGGAGCTGGTGCTGCACTGTTTCACAATAGATCTGCCACAGCCCAGGGGGACTTAGGAAAGCTCTTCTGGGCAACTGTTTTCAGAAAGTTACTAAGAATTAATGCATGCAACTAATAAAATAAAAACAATTAAAAAAAAAATAAAAAAAAGAAGAAAAGTATTTGTAGGAGAGAATTAAAAGATGCTGTATGTCTTGGGTAGAACAGAAGATTTGAGCATTAAAAAATAATATGCATTATCTTGATTGAGTTTCTATTCATATACGTGCAAAACAAGCCAAAGTGCAGGCACGACCAAGAACATTGCCCTGTTCCCTTGCTGCATGTGTGAAAGAATTGTGTCTCCTGAAGGATGCTGTCAGAGGAAAATACCCTCTGTTTGGGTTCACTTATTCTATGGGATTCAGCAGCCCAGGCAGTTTTCTCACCCCATTGGGTTCATTTTCCCTTGCTCACTGCAGGTCACCTGAGGTGTGTATTCGGAGGTGCCAATCCTGAGGTGAGTGAGAAAGGAACCTTTGATATTCAAGTGTTTAGGAATGGTAAAGCAAACTGTGACATTAGCTTGCAGCACTAGAGTATAGATAGCCAGCTGAGTAGGCTGAAAATAAATACTTTTCCATGCAGCAGCAAAAGCAAAGGTGTGACTACTTCTTTCCTAATTTTCCATTTCAGAGCTTTAAAGAACTAAAAGCTCCATTTTGCCCAGGGAACCTTCCTTGCTGCTAGTAGCCAAAGAGGAATGTGGAATTCACAACCATATGCAAGAGGCTTGAATTAACCCTTTTTCAATTAGTGGGAGTGACTTAGATTCCTTTTGTTATCAAAGCTGATGATTTTGCCTGAGTAGAGCAGGTTGTAGATGTGAAAAGCAATCAAGTTGGAAGTAATAAGTAATGGCCTGTCTCTCCTGCTTGTCTCTTTCCACAGAGCCCAGAACCAGCAGCAGTCTCTTCCCTGGCTCCCTGTGCTTCTGGAGAAGAGGCCAAAGAAGAGCAAATTGAACAAGCAGAGCACAAGTGGCCTGAAAATTTCTTGACAGTAAGTGCCAGTTCTGGGTGGGGCTGTCTTTAGTGAGGGGCAGAGCTGCAAGTTTCTGGCCAGCCAGCGCTTGCTGTTGGAGGCTGAGGGTGCTGAGGGCTGGAGTCCTGGCAGCACCTAGCCATTCCCTCCAGCACAAGATAGCTGGGAATTGGGCTTTGAGCTGTCGTGCTGAGGCACCAAAGCACTGGTGCCTGTGGGTGAGCATCTGGCTGCTTGGCTCAGTGCTGCTCTGAATCTTGGCTTCTCCAATGCCATGGCCAAGGGCACTGGGGGGAGTTCTGGGCCTCACGGGGCTTGGTTTGTTTGCTTTCCCTTTTTAGAATTCTGTGTTCAGCTAGTGAAACAGCTCTGTAGTTTTTTGAGCAATTCTTCACTTTTACAGAGTCTGGTGGCCCATCTGTCCTTTGGCTTTTGTTAAACTGTTGCCATGACATGCTGCCGGATTTTCCCCAGCCAGCTCCCGGCACCGGGCCAGGAGTGGGCTGCTCCGGGGAAGCGCAGGAGCTTAGGGCTTATGCTCTATGGCACTGGCTGTCCAGTGTCAGGGACAGGAGCAAGGAGGGAGAGGTCTTCCATGTGGCTTCAAAAGAGATTTATTCTCTTGAAGGATCCAGAAACAAAAGACAAAAGAAACGGGGCGTACAGAAACTTCTCTGCGGGGGAGGAGCAAGGGGCGTGTACATATAACAACCCAACAGGGAAGACTTAGGGGAGGAGCACAAGGCGGGGTTACATAATACATAAACCAATGGAGAACACAAGGGGAGGAGAGTGGGGCACATGGGCCAATGGGGCTCGGAGGAGCAGGGGAATTCCAAACGGGGCGGTCCAGGCAGGGGTTGGCACAAGGGAGGATTGACAACTTAATGGGCGGGGGAAGAGCGAACATTCGGGAACAAGGGGCAGGTATCAGGGTGGATTGGCAACCGGGGTAGGAGGGCACAACTGGGAATAAACTATTACCAAGGGTAGGGGGTACGACTTAACAATACAAAAGATAATTGAATCAAATAAAATGAATAAAAATACACCACAACACTGCCAGGAGATGGTAATGTTGTCCATGAAGCTGTGAAGGCCATTCTTGTCCCATGAGGCCAAAGAAACAAACTGTGTGGTTCTGAAGCCTTCCTCTGAGGTTAAAAGCGTAAGCAGCAAGCTTCTGTGGATACATTTTGTGGTGAAGTCTGCAGCTTTGAAAGCTGCTTTGAAGCCTCGAATGCGGGGTGACTGAAAATCCTTGAGAACAGGAAAGGCGTCTCCAAATTCCGGATGCTGTCTTTGCAGTCAAATGTGTAACGTGGTGCCTGGGGGGCTGCCTGGGCCCAGAGCACCCAAGGGTGTCGCTCAACAGCAGCTGAATGTGAGCCAGCTTGGGCCCAGGTGGCCAAGAAGGCCTGGGGTATGCTGGCCATGTGTCAGCAATAGTGGGGCAGCAGGAGCAGGGCAGTGAGCGTCCCCCTGTGCTGGGCAGCGCCGCGGCCGCAGCTGGAGTGCTGTGTCCAGTCCTGGGCCCCTGTGATCAGAAAGTCATTGAGGGGCTGGAGCATGTCCAGAGAAGGACAAGGGCACTGGGGAAGGCTGTGGAAGACAGGTCCAATGAGGAGGTGTTGAGGAAGCTTTAGCCTGGAGACAGGCAGGCTGATGAGGGACCATCAGCATCCCCTCACTGCATCCAATTATTATTTTAGACACTAGAGGGGGTCTCATTATTATGTTTTTTTTTTTGGTTGCATTTTTGCAATCTTAGGAATCAAAACCTGTTGTTGTTTTTTTTTTTTTACTTTTTCCACAATGGAAAGCTGTTTTGCTGAATATTTCCTGCCTTTTTCCAGTACTGGGAGAGGTTCTGATATAATTTTAATTTTCCATATGGCAGCTCTGAACGATGGAGTATTTTAGCACAAGAACACTTATTTTGAGGTGGGGACTTTGGTGCAGGAGGAGCTGTTCTGGTTCTTGGCCAGTCAGCTGGGCCTTGCACATCAAGTTCAGATTAACAGTGTCCGTGTCTTTGGCAGCTCTCACCCCAGCCCCTGTCACGGGAGCAGTGTGTGTAGTGTTTGGAAATTGGGCAGGAAATCAATGGCCTTGCATTCCAGCTGGTCCTCAGTGATCAGTGGAACTGAGAGGGGCTGGGCTTCATTTCTGACTGCAGACACTTCAGCACCATCAGTGTGATTGAGTCCAAGAGAAGAACTTCTCTCAGCACAGATGCACAGAGTGCAGTTCCCAGTGCAGTGCTCTGGGTGTGATCACATTCCATAAAAACCAGCGTGCTCCAGATTCCCCAAGAGTGTGATTTATTGAAGTAACAGGAGAGCAAGTTCAGCATTGCTGGTGATGGGGGCACTGGCTACCAAGTGTTGATGTGTGCTGGGACAGAAAGAACAGTAAAGAGAATTTATATGTAATAATCAGATCTCTATATCTGAGATCTATCTATCTATCTATCTATCTATCTATCTATCTATCTATCTATCTATCTATCTATCTATTCTATCTACCTATCTATCATTTACCTACCATTTACATTGTGGAATCTTCCCATCTCTTCTCCAAAGCAGTTGGTGGTATAAAAGTCACCTAAAGGGATCCTTTTGAGAAGAGGAGGAGAGACAGATTCCACTGACTGATCCAGAGCAGGCAGAGATGATTCCCCCTGCAGAGATGGTTGATTTTCCCCCTCAGAGCTCTTTTCCTCCTCCACTCTCTTATGCTGTGAAACCTTCTTTTTATCTAACAAATTGCTGCATGTCCTAAGGGAGTGGAACAATCTCAAGCTCTAGGTGGAGTTTGGAGACTTTGGTCATGCATGGATTACATGACACATGGTTTCCTTCATTGGCATCTCTCGGGGTGTGTCAATTCATTTGTTGATGGGGCCTTTGGAGGATCTCTGTTAGTGTTGCTCGGAATTCTCAGCTGACAAAAGAGGGAGGATAAACACCTTGGTCCTCTTCCATATACTCAGGTGGCCATAGGGGCTCTCTGACCTCCCTCAGAGGATCAAATTGCACACATCCTTATCTCCTGAATGAGCAGGATTTCTAACAAGAGTGTAGATGTCAGAAAGGCAGGAATGGTGGTGCAGGCCTGAAGAGAACATGAACTCCACAAGTGTCTCTCACAAGGGATGAAATCACACAGGAAGCCACCTGCAGAGCCAGGATGGAGCTGTGGGACACGGCTGAGTGTGAGTGACTATGGAAAGACAAAGAGGACAGAGCAGAAGGGGAGGGAGGCCCTCAGCAGACCCTTGAGAAATGGCACACATTTCCTGTCAGCTGCGCAAGAGTCTGTTGGGAATTCAGACCCAGCTGGACCCTGATTGTACTGCCAGTGTCACTTTGGAATCTGTGTCTCCCCATGGGCAGAGAACAAGCCAGGAGAGCAGCAGCACAGTGCTTTGGGAACGTGTGAGCCCATCAGTTGATGACTTCAGCGGGAGAAAATGCAGCACTCAATATGAATGATCAGCAAGTCTCATTTATTGGTAACTCTGAAATCACTTACGTAGCACCAATAATTAGGCTCATACATAGTGCAAAAGCAAGCTCATTATTGGATATTTTCATTTGAGGTCAACTCCACCTAATTCCACATTCCTGTGATCGCTCATCTATGCTGAATTCACATTCTTCTGATCACAGCATCCTGTTCTCAGTTAACAGTTATCACTAAGGCCTTCCTGACTTTTGCAACATCTCACACCAACTGTACTCCATTGTCTAACTCTTTCCCAGCTAACTGCTGCATGAGAATATGACCTTTGCTAGCTAGCCATTCCTCTATAATTCCCCTGTTTTCTTTTTGTACTAACAAAACTGTAGAAGTAGCCTTCTTTACCATGTTTTGCAAACATTGCAGTATGCAAAGAATAAACTGTAACACAATCACAATGATCAATGTAACAATTGCCATTTGTGCCAAATTTTTTAACCATCCTGTGAGACCTAGGGATTGAAACCAATTTTTTCATATTGTTCTGTAGTTGTTGAAGACGAGTATGAATAGACACTGAATGGTCAGAAAGATTCATGAAACACATCCCATCAAAGTCTTCACAGCCATGGCCCTGTGCTAATAGCAAGAAATCAACAGCAGCTCTATTCTGCAATACAGCATGCCTAACACTGTTCATATCCAAAAGCAAATCAGACAAAACCTTTGATGTAATATTAAACTGTTTTCCTGTCTAACATGCCAGTTGTCGTAACTGTGTTAAGGCTTGAGCACTAGATACTCCAGGTGTAAAAATAGATGACACAATCACTGTAGGACATTCCCAAAGTTCAACCTGATCTTTGCATTCTGGCCCCAACTGGAACACACTTCTCTTTTTTTGTAACCTGGTTCTATTAGCTCTTAATAGTTGCTGTATAGTGGGTGCAAACAATGTCAATTTTCCAAAATAACAAGGCCCTCCATAAATGTTTGCTGGCAGTCCTTGCCATGCACGATCTCCACAAATTAGAAAAATACTGGGTGGTAATTGTAAAGGTGTACTGCTAGAATTTACTTTGTGAGACCAATTGCCACAGTATACATCATTATTTTGCAAATATAGCAAATTCTGTGGAGAAACATTTGTACCATTTGGCCCATGAGATTTTTTCGCATGATTGTTCCAAGCCCAATTGACAAAAGTCAAACAGTAGTTGCTAGGGGCTGAACCTAACAGTCTTAACTCTTGTGGTTCTCACCCAGTAACATTTAAACCTGTAGAAATGTACCAGTTTTGAGCACCAATGGGATTTGCTGGAATTAAACTTGTGTCACAGATATTAATCATGAATTTACCTGATGGAATTTCACATAATGTTTTGTTTGCTTCCTTGGGGGTTTTCCAATTCTTTGTCCAGTTTTTAAACATTGTGGCATTGAGTGAATCATCTAAAGGTGTGCCCACTAAACAAGTTCGAAAAGGATCCATTAGCTGCCTTCCTTTAGAGATTTTATGGATGTTTTCCAATATTAAGATATTTTACACTACAGTTAAAGGAATAGGAAATT